AATCATTTCTCTAATGGCTTCCTGCCTGCTGTAAATATAGACCAAAACTTCCTGTGGAAAGACGAGCAGCCTTTCAGTTCTGAATCATGAAATGACAAAGTTAAGAGGAAAGGACAAGGTCTGCAGAAAACAAGCAAAGGAGCAGATTAGGGAGGGAGGTATGATAGAAATGCTTTGGCTGATTGCTTTTGTGTCTCTTCACAGGGCAGCGTGTGTGCATGGGGGAGCTGTTGGCAAGGATGGAGCTCTTTATTGTCTTTTCCACCCTGCTACAGGCATTCACATTCACCCTTCCAGAAGGCGTGAAGGAAGTAAACACCAAGTTTGTTTTTGGGGGCACGATGAAGCCACATCCCTACCAGCTCTGTGCCATTCCTCGGTAGGAAATGGCCGATGCAGAGAAGAGTTATTCTGTAAGATTGCTTCTGTATGTGAATTCCTTTTTCCATGTCTTCAGATTTTGCTTTCCTCTTCGTTTGGTTAATCGCTACCCTGGAAGATGCTTTTCAGATAGTTGCATCCTGAGGGTTATAATTACAAAGAGTTCCTATTTTGTTCTTTTTTTCTGTTTGGAAAATCTTGTTAAATTTCTCCTGATGTGTAACAAATAAAAAGATGAAGGGAAGAATTAGAATTGGTCCTTATTTATTACCATCTGGAAAGAGGATTTACAGGGAAAGAACTTGAAGCGACATCTATAAATTGGAGGGTCTGGGCATTCTTTCCCATAAACCACAGAGGCATTTGTGGAGATAGGCTCAGAGGTTTTCCAGTCTGTCTCAGGATATTAGTGGGTGCAGGAGATATAAGAAGCTCTTGGAAGAAGCTTTCTAGAGAGGCAGACAATATTACCTGAGATAACACTCCCTCCGACTGATCCAGTTTGCTGTTGAGCAAACTTGTTGTATCCAAGTCTATCATTGGCACTTGGCAGGACAGCTCAGGGTTGCACCCACTAAACCAGACAGCATTTCATCCCTTCAGATGAAAATAGAAGAGCAGCCTCATCAGCCAGTTCTGGAGAGCTTTTCTTAACACAGGCAATGAGCAAGACTGGAAGACAAATGACAACAGTGAGCAGTCACAGTGTTGATAATTTGTCCTTTTTTACGACCCCATTGGTTGCCAGCAATGGGAATGTCTTCTTCACGACAGGTCATCTACTGGTGGGGATTGCTCCAGATCCTCCAATACTTTATTCTGCTTCATTATTTTTTCAGTTCTTTAATGAATTCCTTATCACAGTTAGCTGCTTGTACATCAGACAGCATAAATTAGCATATCATGTCCAAGAGAAGACTTGGCACCATTGAGGAATTCTTGAAGCCCTTTAGAAGCCTGGTGACTAAGGACTTGGCAAAAGTGGATGTTTAAGAGTTGGCGAATTTGCTTACTGGTAAAAACTGGATGCTGTCTGCCAAGACAGGAAGGATTACTTTTATATCCTGATTAGCTGACAGTGCCATCTCCAGAACTGACATCACTATCACAGCTGTGTTTGTTTCAGGTGCCTCTGCCTACCTTGTGTTTTGAAGCACCCCAGGCTAACAGGCAGGCATGTGTGAGATCACTAATCTGCATACAGGGTGAAACCTGGGTTGCCAGTTTCTTCCCCTCCAGGATTACCTTTATGGGATGGTTCAACCCATGTCCAGCATGTCCTGACGGGCAGGTGATTGCTACGAAGTCCCCTTGTGCTCAAACTGCCAACATCCCCCTGGCAGTAGCTCCACACTGGTAAGAGGTGGCTCATTTAAATGCAGCTGGATAGCAGGAGGAGAGGCAGCAGTTACTTGCCTTGAGCCAATTAAAAGCCACTAATCCTAAAGAAGAGCTGGTGGAGAGTGCTGAAGAAATGCTATTGGTGGTTGCATTTAGTAATTATTTAGGAAACGGAGCCTAGGCAATTTCCTGAATACATTTTCTATCAAATGAAGTTAGAGGAATCCCAGATTCATCTGTAGTCTAAGTCAACCCAAAGTCACCTTCCTTTTCCAGTGTGATAGAACCATATTCCAGGCTAGCTCCAGCTGAACACTGGTTAAAGTATCTACTGAGCTCAAAAGCAAGTAGAGCTTGAAGCTATCTAATGTCATCCTGGAGAAATATATGGGGAAAATTAAGTGGACCACAATGTTTCAGAGTTTCACACTTGAAACTCTGGCAGAAACAAAGATAAATCTGGAGAAGTGGGAGATCTAAGGTGGATGTTGGAATCTTTCTTTTCTGCCACAGAAATATAATGTTAAAACATAAATATATTCTGTTTAAGCTCTCAATTGTTACCTGGTGGAGAGAAGGATGGGAATTTATTGTGGTTCCTCTGGAAGAAAGTGGTGGTACTGGGTAAAAAGGAGATACAGAGAAAGTGCAGCTGAGTGCAAAGAGAAAACTCTGGTCTCTGACCAGCGTGCAGGAGGAAGGCAGAAGGGTGATGGGTGACATGTTGCCACTGGTGCCTCGTACTGTGGTGGGGAAACTGTTTCAGGAGCCTCCAGGCAGAGAGAAGGCTGTAGCTGCTCCCTTGAGTGGGTATCAGGGAGGCAACCGAGTTCTCAGCTGAGTTCTCAAGCGAGGGAACTGTGGCAGAAAGACCTGTGCCAAAAGCACCTGCAGAGGTGTGTGGAGCCAGGCTGAGGGGAAGGCAGGCTGCTGGCTCCCTGGGGCATGGTCTATGCAGGCCTTGGGAGGGAAAGGCTGCTCTGCTGACAGACCAACTTCTCACAATGGCCCCTTCACGTGGGATGGGGGAGGGCTGGGTCTTGGGGTCCTTTCTCACACCCACTCCCTCCTCCAGCACAGTGGTGACTACAGGTGCCAATCTGCTTCCTCTTCAGCTCCATTTCCTGCCCTTGTATTTTTTCCTGGCTGCTCCTGCCCCTGCTTTAGACATGGAGGGAGGACAGGACTGCTGCCAGGGCAGGGCCTTGGCATCGTGCAGGGAAAACACCACCAGGAAAAAGGTTTAAAGCCTCCTGAAGGGGTCAGAGCACGAGAGGAGACACAGATGCCCTGATCAGAGGGATGCTTTAGCAGAAAGGATGTCAAAGGCACAAGGAAGAGCTTTGGGCTGGTGTTAAGAGTATGCTAAAGGATGTGACAAGGGGCTGACAAGGGGCTGGAGGGTGTTTGGATACCTGGACTTGTGAGAAATGACTCTTAATGGGAAAACTGGAGGCTGCAAGACTAAAGAAGGATACACAGAGGTCCTGCTGTGAGGCTGCAGCCTTGGAGGGGTGAAGGCCTCAGGGTGTAACTTCTATCTTCACTGCCCAGTAGAGAAATCACTGGACAAAACCAAATTTTCCTGATGACAAATTGTTTAGATGGAAAATCTTTGCATATCTAAAAGGACAGGGAGTGTACTGCTTTGATTCTAAATAAAAAATGCTGATAAATTAGTGAATTTGAAGTAGATTTTGTGAGATTGCACTGGATACAGAGCGGGCAAAACTTAACAAAATTTCTTTTTTTAAAAGACTATTCTTTTTCCCTGTTGAAGGAGGGAGATAAATTAGAAATGATTGCCTTGAAAAAACCAAGCTGTTCAATGTACACAAACAATCTTTTGTGGAAACCTAGAAACATCCCTTTCTCAGTTAATACACATTGATCAGTTATGCATTAGTGGTTAGGAGGTGTCAGGGTTAGAAGATAATTGAATTGGAGGCCTGTAAACTGTGGACCGGCAGACTCCAGGCTGTTCTTTCTGGATAAGGGTCTTCAATGTCCCAGAGCCAAAACCCCTTGATGTAGTTTCTGTCCCAAAGACAGGGCACTTGCAAGAAGCAAGCTGGTGCACAAGTCATTATGGTAGGTTTTTCAGAATATCAGTGAAAACATGGCTCTTTTACAAGTGCTTTGCTTTTTGTGCATTTTTGACAAGGAAGCACCGATCCATTAACATTTCAATCTAGATCTGCAAAGGGACTGCAAAGGTCATTTCTGTATGGTGCCTAGAATCCTTGTGTGGTTTTCATGGTCTGTTTCCAGGCATGTGAACTCCCTTGTTTCTGCTGGCTTTATGGTTCCTGTGTGTGTTGAGGTGTGGCAAAGAGCCTTGGCTACAGACTCTGTTGTTCTCAAGTTACACATGTCATGACTTGTTCTTGCTGGGGCCCTTAGGTTCTGTTGTAGCTCAAGATCCCTGGTAGGTTTTTCCCATATTTTGATTTTTTTTTAACCTGTTTCATATTAGATGGACTTTCTATAGGTGTTATTTGTCTCATAAACTTTCTGATGAGTTCTCCAAAATCCTTTAGGGTATCCATCTCATGTCAAGACTGAAAGGGGAACTTCAGAAGCAGACAAAACTTCAGCGAGGTTACCTATTGCATATAGATTAGGGGGAAAAAAAGTGACGCCATAGGTTAAACCAGTTACGTTTTCCATTACATTCAAAAGCATCACAAATGTTGCTTTTTGTATTAAACAGTGGATAGTTGTCTATGTACCTTAAGATAAATGTGGGCTTTTAACTTCTATCAGCCTTGCCATTACTAGATAGAACATGTATATGGAATATAGATAGAACCATTTAAAAAGTCCAAGATTTAATGTCCACTTCCATTTGCATGCTTAATTTGTATGTATGGCTATTGCTTTTCTAAAAGCATTTGTGGAGTGTTTGTAGGAGCACATACCATCCAAAATTGTTTCAGAAAGATTAGGTGGAGAATTTACGTGTATCTACATTGCCTGGACAATCTTGGCCCTAGTCTTTTAAGACGCTGTTCCTACAAATCCTGTGATGCATATTTGATAAATATAATCTGGATGAGAAAGGGAGAGAGGTGTGCATCTATTAAATGTGCTTCAGCATGAGAATGTAATAAGTGGGACAAAAGGGGAGTGGTTGGTAATAAAGAGGGAGGGTTAGAGGCGGGAATAGTTGTTATATGAAATTGAAGCTCTTATGGAAAAACTGGTTGAGCAACCAGCCTTAACAGCTTCAATAGACTATTTTGAATAAAGACAAGCTGGTAAAAGCAGAGGGTAAAATGTTGACAATAAGTCAGGTTCTTATAGCTGTGGCTGTATTTCTTCTAATTACCCAGTTTTTAAAGTTGCAGCAAGCACAGAGATGGCTTCCTCCTGGACCAATTCCTCTCCCAGTTTTTGGGACCTTGATACAGCTGAACTTTCAGTTTAATCGTGATCTCCTCATGAAGATACTTTTTTTCAGATATTCCTAGTTGTTTAAAAGTCTTTGTCTTTTCTCATGTTGTTTTCTTTTTGAAAACATCTTCTCCTGAAACTATGCAGGTAGCAAAGTGTAACTGTTAACTGGCCACAGTGATATCACACCCGGTTTGGTTCAGAACTTCTGGTTTGGTTTGTAAAATAAGAAAAAGTTCTTGCAGTGTAAAGTATTTTGCCAAGCTAAGAAAACTGGTATTGGAATTTCGGAATATGTGAAGATCATTCTGATGCTTAAACCCATTGCCTTTTAATACGGAGTTTGACAAACTCATGTGAAATTTGATATAATTTGGGATTAAATTCTTTTAGGGATAATAGATCAGATTTGCAGTTAGGGAAAATATACTTTAAAAAAAATTACTTTTATGGCCTGAATTTGTAGCTTGCTGAGCACTGCCAGTCTCTAGCTTGAGCAGTAAATAGAACTTATTGCACTCCGTGTTTATGTGCTCACTTATAATGACAGGATTGAAAATGGTTGGGAGGAAAGAAGAAAGTAACTGGTACCACTTCTACAAGCTTGGTATTCCTCTGGCATTTCTGTGTTCTTTGTGCTACTTTACTTGTGCAAGTGATAGAAACTGTCTCGAAATAAATTAATGAATAGCAAATGCCCTTTTTCATATGAATCATTGAGAACTAGCCTTGGCTTATATACAGTAATAAAAGATACATAATGTTTCTTAACGTAGACCTGTGACTCTGAAAAGTGGGAACACTCAGCTGTTTCCAACAGTGAGTGCTAGAAAAGACATTTATGCTTTGTCATGGAAAATTATAATCTTGTGGGAAAGATGGAGAACATCACTCCACTTCAGGGATGGTCTTGTAATCAGTGCAAAAACAGGTTCATCCTCTATTTGTTTGCAGTGTGTGGGATTTCATCTGTGCTTCTCTGGCTTCTCTCCCATCTCTAGCTGGCAAAAATTCATGGCAATATATTCACCTTATGGTTTGGATGGGCCCCAGTGGTTGTACTGAATGGATTTCAAGCAGTGAAGGATGGTATGACCACTCACCCTGAAGATGTTTCTGGGAGGCTGGTGTCTCCTTTCTTCAGAGCAATGGCCAAAGGGAAAGGTGAGAATTTCTTGCAATAAACATTGCACAGAAGCATCATCTTTACATATTGCAGCTCTTTTGTAGCTCATAACCACAGGAAGCAGAGTCTGTCTACAAGGAATGACTGCCAGGTGAATTGCAAGGTAGGGAAGGGTGAAATAGCTTTTAGATAGTAGCAGGAGGAAAATACAAGCAAAAGAGAAAAGATTCATAATGTCTTGTGTGAAGTACTTACTGGAGCAGATTCAGAGTGATGTGATGAGGCAGTGGTTAAGCTGTGCTGTAGAGAAGTGGAGGAAAAGCAGGAAACAGCTTTTTTCCTTATCCTGGACTTGTTGCTTCCCACTATTACATTTTCAGTTGAAGAGTGAGATTGACAGTGGAATCTTCTTCCCATTCTCTTCCTTTTGTGAATGTTTTCTTACTCCCACAGTTACACCTAGAGGCTCAGTGAGCTTGTATTTCAACCTTGCTGTAGGTTTCATACCACCAACCACACTGGAAATTCTCCAAACCTGTCAGAAAGCCTAAGCAGTGAACTTTCCTGCCCTATGGACAGGAACATTTATCCCTGCCTGTGAAAAGTCAGAGCTCTTTCCCCCTTTCCCTTCACAAGAATCATTACCCTGATTCAGGTGAGCTTCAGGCACAGCAGGGTGTGAGACAAGTGCTACAAAGAGCATCTAGAGAAGCAGCTGGCAGACATCCTGAGATATCTGGTTGTCTTGGATCAAGCTTAATCCTGCAAGTCATCTTATTACCCAGCTGAGTTTGTCCTCTTCAGTCCTGCCAACATACTTACATGCCAGAATTGTTCCTTTGTGCCTTCATGTTCTTAGGCAATGCAGTAGTTTAATTATATTCTGTGGCTTAGTATATCCTTTAATGTAGGCCTTGTCTATAATTAATATTAGCATGATAAAGAGCTCTTCCTTTAATGGATGTAGGGATTATGTTGGCAACTGGTCACACCTGGAAGCAGCAGAGAAGGTTTGCACTCAGGACTCTACGCAACCTTGGCCTGGGGAAAAAAGGTCTGGAGCATCGAGTTCAAGAGGAAGCCCACTACCTGGTAGCCTTTTTTGCGAGCATGAGAGGTATCTCTGCAATAAATATCAATACATTTCTGCCATTAGTCTGATGTCCTTAGTGTATGAACTTCTCTGAAATTAAGGGCAACTTTTGTTCCACAAAAAAGTGTGCAGAGTCTTACAGTGTTTATGTGGAAAGGATCGAAAATGCAAAGACCCCAACTCTGTGTTTTCAAGGATACTATTATTGTTCAAAGTTATTTACAAAACAACTACATCTGTGAAGAAAAACTGGAACTTATTTATTATTTATATCACAGAATGCCCTAAGGGGAAAGGGATCTCTGAAGATGGACTAGTCTAACCTCTTCTCAAAGAAAGGTCACTCTGAGCAGGTTTCTTAGGGCTGAGTTGTAAATATCTGCAAGAATGGAGACTTTGCCACCTCTCTGGGTAACCAGTTCTGCTGTTCAATCACTTCTACAGTAAAAAAAGTTCTTATGTTTATGCAGAATTTAATGTATATCCATTTTTGCCTATTGCCTCACTTGATATTACTGAGAAAAATCTGATCCCATGTTCTTTATTCAGATGCCTCCCTAAGCCTTCTCTTCTCCAAACTAAACAATATCCCCAACCTCTCTTATGTCAGATGCTTCAAACCTTTAATTGTCCTTGTGGCCCTTTGCCCAATTTGTTGTAGTTTGTTGATGTCTCTTGTACTGGGGATCCCAAACCTGGACCCAGCCCTCCAGATGGGTCTGACCATTGCTGATCCAAGGGGAAGGATCACCTCCCTTGGCCTGCCAGCAATAGTTTCATAATGCATCCCAGGATGACGTTGGTCTTTGTCTCAAGGGCAGCATTGCTGGCTCATACGTGATGGGGGTTCATAAACTTATGGAGGCACTATCAATGATGATGAATTAAGTCTTGCCTGTAACTCTACACTTCGTGTAGCAGTGACTAGAATCTTGTCATGAATACCCTTCTCAACCCAGTTAGGATCATGTGAGTTGGATTTCCCAATATTGATCATTATGTAAAGGCACAATAAATCAGGACATGTCGTGGCTAGCATTATATCAGTTAAAAGTAATTAAATCTAGCCCAATCCTGTTTAAGAACTAGGAGATACTGAGATGTGGCCATATATGCAGGAGAAAAAAGCACAAAACAATAAGTTGCTAATCAGAATCATTGCTTGGGTGTTGGACAGTTGTATTGACACATACATAAATACAGTTGTTTACAGTAATTTATTCCAGAGTCACAAAATAGTGACTTGGGATTAGGTTTTCAAATAATTGCTTTAAAATGAATTATTGTATTTCTGCCACAATTGGTTGAAAGGAGTCTACATTATTTTATTTTACTGGAGGTTGTACATCTGTAGCAAGGTCAGACAAAACATAGTGGCCTATATGTCCTTGCTGGATAAGGCTGCCTCCCTTCTTGCAGTTCTCCCTTCAGGTTCCCTTTATCCACAGTGTTCTGAGTCATTCCCATGCTTGAGACATATTTTGAATTTGCTGGGCAGCAAATTTGCATAGAATTTTTTCCTTATCTCTAAATTTGCTCTACCATATTATGCAATACTTTACACATCTGGTGTTTCTTTAGGCTGCTACACATTCCTGGGATAATGGGATTGCACCACTGTTGTGAAGAATTGGTTTGATACTACAATTTTGTAAGAAGATTGCTGCTTCTCTGTGAAATGCAATGCTCTCTTCTGTGGGTAATCTATAACATTCTATGATTTCACTAAAGCAGGAGACATTAACAGTGACATTTATTATTACAATTGCAGGGAAACCTCTGGATCCTTCTTTCTCTCTTGTTCATTCTGTTTCAAATGTCATTTGTGCTGTCGTGTTTGGACATCGTTTCTCCAGAGAGGATGAGACTTTTCATGAACTGATTAGAGCCACAGAGCATCTGTTCAAATTTGGGGGCAGCTTTATTCATCATGTAAGCAAACTATCTGTTGTATTTCTCTAAATAAGATGGAGAGTGAGAAATGCAGATTCAAGAGGTGGTTGTTGGGCAAAAGTTTTCAAATGAGTGAGTGATGTCCTGTGCAGCTGTGCTGGGCAGTGCACTCTCTCAAAATGTGATGGTAATGCTCCACAGACCAGCCTCAGGCATTTGTGTTCATTGTCCTATGTTTGAGCACTCTGGTAGCTCTGCCTAACTCTTTGTAGCAAGGCATAGGCTCATGGACTCCTCCTGGGTCACAGTTTTTCAGCCTCTATGCACCAGACTCCTGCCTTGGACAATGTGATCCTTAAGTATTAAAAGTCAGGTCTAAAAGTGTGATTCATGTGCTAAATTTAGACATTGTTTTATACAGTGAACAGAGAGAAGAATTATTCAAATACTGAAATGTTTTGCCTGTGGCTACTTATCTCCATATCCTCTTTAAGACTTGGACTTGAAGACTTCCCAGAGAAATTCTGCTCCTTCAGCCTGAGTGAGGAGTAGCTCTAGACACAGGCAGCAGATGACAGCAAAATGCTAAGCCAGCAAATGTAACTCTAAGCTTGGCAATCAAACAATCTGGGAGTCAAGGACTCATCTAACATTAGAGGCCTCCTTTGCACAGAAGTGAATTCAAAATTTTCTGGGAGTTCTGGTTCTGTCCCACTGCTAAAGTTGTCCCATACAAGTTATGCAGTAACTTCGTAATGTAAAACACATAAGCAATCCCTGTAATACAAAGATTTCTCTCCACATCCCACAGAGCATTCTTCTCACTGGGTTATGGTCAAGTTCCCTTTTGCTTAGCCTAGCACTGGTCCTGTAAGCTGTGTGTAGTGGTGGCAGGTGAGACCTGCTTTTAGGATAGAGAGCATAACTCCCTTTCTTGCCTCCTTCCTATCCTGGCTTTGCTTAGTTCAGTGAATAAGATACTGTTTGGGGAAACAAGAACAGGGGTTCAAACCTTTCCAGAGTGATGGCCGCAATCTTCCCACTTCCCAGTTGCAAAGAGTACTCAGTATTGTGTGGAAAATGGATGTTGCTGCATCCACATCCCAATTTCCTAACTGCATCCCATGCCGTCAGGCACTAAGCAGGAGAACACTGTGGACTGTGTTTCTCCAGAAATGGAGGAGGAGTTTTGGTAGGACCAGTAGCCAGGAAGGTGGATGGGAGAAAGTACACTGCAGATACAAGAACAGGGCATACAAATTATCCAGGCATAAGGATAGGCTGAAAATCAGAACGAACTTTCTAGCTATCAGAATAGGTAGAAAGCAGCTATTCCTTACTCCAGGTTTTCCCCAACGGTAAGAGAGAAGGAAAAAATTAATCTGGTGTCAGCTAACACCTTCTTCCTTTCTAGAGGAGAGCACTCAAATTTAGGTAGCTGTTAGGTAGCTGTTCCTTAGATTTTCTGGATTTCAGATATTTGAAATTTTATCGAGGACCCTTGAGAGGCCGATTGGTAGAGTGCTTTAGGGATTACCCAGCCTGTATAGCAGCTGCCAGCAGCCGACCCTTGCTTTGGGTTTATCAACTCCTTTTGCACATCCTGGCGAGGACAGTTGGCAAGTTTTGCTTTTCCGTTCCAGGTATTCTCCACTGGAGGGCAGGATGTCACTTTTAAAATGCCTGAATGCAGTTCACAGTAATTGAAGACGTGAGTCAAATAACTGAATAGATGAACACAGTTCATTCTAGTTATAATAATTGTAATTTGCCTTGTGATTGAGCTGAAAGCCTGTGGAACTCTGAATCCTAACATCAAAACAGCTAGAACTTAAATAACGTACTGTTTCACAGCTTGAAAGCATGAGCACAGACTTTGACAGGATATTTGCTAATGAGGTCCAAACCCCATGCTAACATGAACATCACCCTCTCTTTGTAGCAGGCCTTTCTAGTGCATTTTCTACTGATAGAGACTTTGTAGTGCTTCTTGTGTGTCACTCCCACAGCTGTACGAAATCTTCCCCTGGCTGATGTGCCGTCTCCCTGGGCCCCACAAGAAGGCGCTGGCTTGCTATGATGTCCTGAGCAACTTTACACGGAGAGAGATCAGAATGCACAAGGAGTGTGGGACACTGGATGAACTGCAGGATTTCATTGACTTTTACCTGGCTCATATTGAAAAAGTAAGGTTTTTTCTGTCAGGCTGCAGGCACTCATCCTGTATCTCCTGTCACAGCCAAAAAGGGAGCTGCTGTCCTGGGCACTGCCTGCCTTGTGTACGCCCTGAGCAGCTCTACTGCTGTGCTCAGTCACTACAGACGTGCAGCCAGGGGAGAAATCCCTCCCATCCATAGTCTGTTAGCTATTTCTGCCAGCCTGCTCTTCAGTCCTTCTGCTCTTGTCTTTATAGTGCAAGATTTTTTATTATTATCGGGAACAAAAGCAACTATCTTGTGGGCTCCAAGCACACTGCAACTGTGAAATTGTCATTATTGTCCAAGCTGATACTTCTGCCAAAGAGTCAAATCAGATCTCCTTGCCATGATCATTTATTTCTATATAGTAACCAATAACATCAGTTTGTATTTCTAACTGCTAATTCTTTATTAATCAATTACCACATCAGCTGCTATATTTTTATGGCCAGGGTGGATGTCTGCTCAACTGGCTTCTAGTTCCTGGGATTCCCTTGTTTCAATTTTTTTTTGTATAGTCACATTCACACATCTGGCTTTCAGAAGCATTTAACTGCTTCTGAAGCATTTCACTGCTGTTCTAAGATTTATGAGTCTTGAAAATCAGTGGACCAGAAATTGTTTCAGTGAGCTCTTCTGGGGTCTGCTGGATGGAAATCATCCAAGTTTGTTTATTAAAAAAATTGAACTGTCTCTAATAGATGCACAGGAGCAATAAAAAAAGATTAGATGGTATTACAACAGGGGAAAACATCTTTCCCACTTTTCAGCTGCTCCACTGGCAAGAGAAAGGTTCAAGACCCCTGAGCATAACCTTCCTAAATTTAGACAATGAATTTCCCCAAACCATAATGATGTTCCTTTATGGTTTCAGTGTATATATACATGTCCTCACACTTCTAACTGAAAACTGTGAAACCTCAGAGAAGCTGTGTGTGAGTCATTGTGCCCTTGTAGTGAAGAAGAAACCTGAATACCAGAGGTTAAGAACTTTACACAGCCCAGTGTTCATTGCCTTGTCACTGCATTGCTTGCTAGAAAAACTAAGTGGCGGACTGTGACTTGAGGCATGAAGAATGGCATGCTGGCAGACATCTTTAGAGGAAGATTTACTTATGAAACCTTCTAAATGAACCACTATTTGCACACTTAAGCCGATAATCCCTTTCTGCAAAGAACATGCAATTTAGCTTCATGATTAAAAGGGCAGTAAAGATGTCTTATCTCTCTGTGAAACGTTTGCTTTTTGTATTGATAGTCATTTTTGGTGTCTAACATTCCTTGTCAGTCTCTGTATTGTCCTATATGCAAACACACTGCAGCTTGGGACCAGTTATAAATCATATTTAACCCTATTTGGAGTTTTCTAACTTTCGTGTATAAGCCTCTATTTTTTCTTATCATTTTCAGTCCAAAGATGAACCCAGGTCTACATACAATGAAGACAACATGGTTTATTCTATAAATGACCTTTTCCTGGGTGGATCAGAGACAACAAGCACTACTTTGAACTGGGGTCTGCTCTATATGGTGGCATATCCAGACATCCAAGGTGAGTAGATAAGCCCCTCACAAATATCTCTCAGGCAGTAGAACAGCCAAGTTATAACATTTGCATGGATCAGAGATTATTCCTAGATACTGATACATGCCTAGTGCTACATGTACCTTTTTGTACTGGTGTATCTGTGCTAGGCAGCATCAGTAGATGCAGGGGATCTGTACACAAGCTCTTAGAGCAACCACAGGCAGTTCTGAGTTAACCACTCAGGAATTATGCACCTGTATAGGAGATTGGGGCTGACTGAGGTGTAGGGGTCTGTGGGGAAATGAAGACTGTGGCAGAGATAAGAGGACTGGAGTCACTGTTTGGGAAGCCAGTAGTTTGCACATGTGTTCCTTAAAGGAACGGTGGCCACTGCTGCAGCCATTGGTGAGGGGTGCTCATGGTGCTTCAGGAAATTGGTTTGGGTTCTCTCTTAGCTGATGGCTGAAAATAATTAACCTGAAACTGATGTGTGATAATAGGAGTGTCACTGTTTGGAAACTTACTTCAGTTGGGCTTTGTATTGCTGAGTATCAGTAAGAGGGACTACAGGGGGTCCTGCCCCTCTTGGTGCTCTGTAGGTCACAGAAGAAATACAGATAATTGTCTGAAGGTCAGTTGCCAACCTTGACTTTACTTTTGCCCATCAGTCCATTTCCAATCCCAAGGTACCAGGGTGTCTATCTAACCTGTGATTAAATTAACTCTGTGATGTGTTTGAGTTTCTTGTAATAGAAATTATTATTCCAGTCAGGAGGGGAAACTGATGGTTCATCTGTTACATATATTTGTATTAAAGAAGCTTGTTTTTAAGTCTAGTTTTTAAATAACCATTAATCACTTCCATATATCACTGAATGAAAACAAAAGGAAGAAGGACGTCTTATGCTGGATAAGAGAAACCTCATTGTTAGATCACAGAACATGTGCAAATACTCAGAGGAGAACAGGATTTTAAATGGAGGAAAGACATGAACATAAGAAAAAATTGCTCATCTTGTAGCTGTCAGACAAGAAAGTCTACTTAATCTTATGTTATCACATGTTTTGTTATCACCTATGTAATTAAGGTTATGCAAGCACTGACTCACCTGTGTAATTTTGTTTAGTTAAATATAATACCTTGCACATCTGTGAGAAAGCAGGATGGGTGCAGAGTGATCCTTCCTGGGCTTCTTTCTGAACCCATTCATACTGTTGCCTGTGTTGACAACCAGTGACAGTGTTGTGCAGTTCCATTTTGTAACATATGGAAAAATTTGGCCTTTTGCCTCATCACTAAATCAGGCTCTCCTTGTGCTCTCAGTAACCCAAACAGAGATGTGTGTATATATTATGCAGTAACTGATTACTTCGAACTACACTGGATCCTGAAGTAGTCATGCTTGCTTTTGCAAGATAGTTCTTCATAGAAGGAAGTTTACTTAAAAATCTTTCTGGATATACATTTTAAACTCTGTAAGGTGCTTAAATCTCTGTTTTCAGAGCCTGCCTAGCACAGCTGTGTGACGGACTGCTGGCAGTCACAGAGCAGGCTTGATGTGATGCAGAATGGACCTCCCTACATCTTACTGTTGCTTCAAGCAGCCTGGAAAAAAGACAGGATCATTTATTAAAAACCTAAGGTGGTTTTATTAGGTGGTATGTCCTGCCTCTCTGGAGGTTTATAAAACAAAGTTTTGTTTTTGTTAATCCTCCCAAGACTCCAGTGCAATAAGTGATTTAAAACAAGCTATTTTTGTTCAAAAGGTAGGTGCCAAGGAGTAGATACATTTCTTTCATGGTTTTTGGGCATTGTTCTAATTGGCATTGTTTCACTTAGCAGACATTCTACGTAAGAACCATTTCCTTTTAACAGAATCTTAAATGGAATTAGTGAAAACACTTGATAGGTTTTTCCACCTGAAACACTGAATATTTCTCCACAGAGAAAGTTCAGAAGGAGTTGGATGCTGTTCTAGGTCCTTCCAAGTTAATCTGCTATGAGGATCGGAGAGAACTGCCCTACACAAATGCTGTGGTTCATGAGATCCAACGCTTCAGCAACATTATCTCAGTTGGCATGCCCAGGGTGTGTGTGAGGAACACAACATTGCTTGGCTTTCCCCTCAAAAAGGTACAGAGGCAGTTTCTAAGTTGCTGCACACCTTTCCTGCATCAGTAGAGCAAGGTGTGGATTAAGATCTGTTTGAGCCAGGAGCTGCTCCTCAGTAGCAAGGGGACTGGACACCTCTGGGTGCCATTGAACAGAGACAAGAGTTCATCTTTCAGGCTGAGCTACACAGCTCTTAGGGAGAGGGTGATCAGGAGTGAAAAATGCACCCGGATGGAAAATGATATTTTAGCAAAGTGTTTCTACAAACCAGTGAAGATAAAATCTTTGTGATTGATACTGAAGGAAACTGTGGTGGATTTGTGCTGATAAGGCATTGGAAAGATTTCTGACTGAATTTTTGTGTGCAGAAAGCCTGTAAAAAATCTGGGGAGAAGCATGGCAGTTTGCAACTGGCTTTTGTTAAAGACACTAAATCACAGAAAATCCTAACACTGGAAGTGAAAATGGGTTAAATACAAATAAAGTTGTTAGTTCCTATTGACATGGTCATTTCACTTGTCTGGCTTGGACCAACATTTTGCAGCAAAAATATTTTGAGTTCCTCACAGTCCTTACTGGGGAACTGAGTCTATCAGCACAAAAACCTGAACTCTGAGAGGGAACAAACACCAGTCTCACCAGCTGGCTCTGGCTGCTGGGTGAGGACTCACAGCCAGAACTGAGTGAGTGTTTTTCTCCTTTCAGGGCACCATAATTCTTCCAAATATTGCTTCATCTTTGTATGACCCAGAGCAGTGGGAAACACCTCGACAATTCAACCCTGGTCACTTCTTGGATAAGGATGGAAACTTTGTGAGCCAAGAAGCCTTTTTACCATTCTCAATAGGTAAATGGACTGACAGCACACGCATTAACTGTTAAGATTGGGAGTGTAGAATGAAGATGTCTATTAAAAAACTTTGGGTTTCTATTTTAAACCTTTTTGTGGAAAACAGTGCTTATATCAACATGATTATTTTCAGTAACTTTTGTTCTACTGAACAAATAATAACATGGATAAACAGAGGTGTCTTGACAAATGTATATATCTAACCTTATTTTTGGAAGGAAATTCTCTGCTAATGATCATGTCTATTGATTTGGGGCATACATTTCACACCAGACATACATTTTGGAAAATACTTGCAAGCAGCCTTCCTGATTCTTTATGCATACAACACCAGTGCATGACATCTCCCAGGAAAAGCAGGTCCTTATTCTTCATTTATATGATAGAGAGAATTCCTTTCAAGTTGTCAGTCAAATTAAGATGAGATTTTTGAGGTAATTGAAGGGATACTTGGAGCAGAAGGGGCACACAGTTATCTATAGCTGCAGATAAGATTTGTCAAAGGAAGAATTACACCAAACTTTGTGTCACTGATTGCATTAAGTCCTGAAGAAATTCTTAATTAGGCAAAAATATCCTAGCTTTGTGTGAGAATGAATACAATCGCTGTTGAAGTCAGGGTAATTTACTCACTGTCCTCCCCTCTTCCCTCTGCAGGGCACCGTGTGTGTTTGGGGGAGCACCTAGCGAGGACCGAGCTCTTTATTTTCTTTGCCAACCTGCTGAGGTCTTTCACCTTCCAGCTCCCCGAGGGAGTGACAGAAATCAACATAGAGCCCATTTTGGGGGGTACCCTGCAGCCCCACCCATACAGGGTTTGTGCCATTCCCCGCTAGGCTGGACATGTGCAATGTCCATGAAACATCTTTGTTGTTTTTGTGTATGTATGCCTTGAGAACATATAACGCTTTTTGTCTTGGATTTGAATTTCTACTCCAAAAACCACCTTTTGTCTACAGCAGAAAATTTTGTTCCAGACCCTGTTACCTGCTCTTGAAGGTGATCCTTTTATTTTGTAAAAGTTAATTTGATCTGTAAGGCACTATCATTCTCAGCCATAAAGGAATCTTGCAGTTGCTGTCTGGCCTGGCAGATATAAATCTGGTACACTGGTGAGCAAATGACAAAACTGACCAGCTGATTTCAAAATTAATTCATTATCTCTGAGTTATCCTGTTTTAAAAAGCAATGAAGTTTAGGAAAACAAACCTGTAAGATTCTGTCTCTTGATGTTACTATCATCAATTGTAACATTTCAGTCAACTTTTTGTTGATGGTCGCTAATAAAAGATATGAAGGAAAAATTAGCAACTGGTTTTATTTTGTTTTATTTATGGATGACTTACAGCTCACTGAGAATTTCTAGACTTGATCCAGGAAAATATATGTAAGGCATCTTTAAACCTGGCAGAGGATAATTGAGTCCAGCAGAGAAAAAGTACAGGCTGAAACTTGGTGGAGAGCGAAGATACAGAGAGAGGATTTATTTTGGGGCCCATACTTTTAACATTTTAAAATTCTTGTTAGTTTTGTAAAGTCCTTTCTAACGGAGCAACACTTTACTCCCATGCATGACTCCTGTTAGGATCAGCACTAGGAAGTTGATACAGCAGGTGCAAGGAACTCTCCCAAGGGGCAATTTGGGCAAAGTCTGCTGTAGTTAGAGTCGATGGTAAATTGAAAAATCTTCATGGAAAACACCAGAGAGATTTTTTAAATGCCTCAGCAGTTCAGCAGTATTCCTGAAGCCACAAAGGTTTGCCATATACACAAAATACTTGTCAAATGCAATAAAAAGTCTATAATAGCCAAAAAGGAAAAAAAATTGTTTCTCATAATGAGTATTTATATTGTCTGGAAAAGACTTCCAAAGTGTGAGTGAACTTGTACTTTATTAATATTCCTATTTCTGTGAGAGAGGACAGGACAGCTCAGCAGACAATCATCTGTTAAATCAGTTATCACTAGATGTTGTCCACTGCGCGATTGAGATTAGTTTTGGCAGTTCACCATGAATCACAAATTTAGACCAGTCCCATTATTTCTAATTCAATAGCTGATGGAACACAGCATCAAAATAGAAACCACTTGATATTTAGCTGTTATTAAATTAAATGGCAGGACAGCAGAAGTGAAATATGGAAGAGCACATCCTGACATTTTATTTGACAGAAAACTATGCCCTGTTAAAAACTGATGTCGAAGTCTGTGTGGATTTGCATGTGTGCATGGGTAGATAAGGCAAAGCAGAAACCGCTGTGATCTGGGGATGTTGGAGCTTCTTAAAAATGAAGCTGAAAACATCAGTAGCATTACAAGCATTAACATCACAGCTATGTGATGCTGTCACTCCTGACAGCCACATGCTTCCCCAGACCTCCTTCCAAAAGGGAAGATCAAAAAACTGGCCTGGACAGAAGTGTGCCCAGGATGGCCCATACACAGCCAGAGCAGGATGAGTAGCCTGAACCCATGGGAATGGCACGACTCAAACCAAGGAGCATAAATCTGACTGGTCCAGGGGTGGAGAGGAGACATGCAGGGCACTTCAGAGGGAAACTGGACATCGCACACAGGCAGTTTATTCACACGTGGGTGTGCTAATGCCTGTCTGTGACAGGAACTGCTCACTGGTGATTTTTAGTCCATTGTGCTCAGGTGTCCAGGAGATGATTGCTCGGCACATGAGACGTGGCAGCAGGACATCAGCAGGAGGCTCCCAGCAATGAGATGGGAGAGCTGTGTTTTTCGGGGCCTTTGCATTTCTGTTCTTGCCTGACCTATTTTAAAAGTGAGTCACTTTAGCTCATCTTCTAATAAAGCCTGGTCTTTTTGAGCTTTTAAAAGCCTTTTAAAGCACAGCTGACGTTGGCACAGAAGGCCAATGAAGCTGAGAGCAGCTCTGAGAGAAGCCTGGATGCCACTCATGAGGTCTGTGATAATTCTCTCAGTCTTGGCTGTGGGGTGTCTCCTCCAATCAGGCTGCTGACCTGTGTCACTCCAGGGCTGCTGATCTTTAAGGGGTATCTTGGAGACCACCCCTGATATCCTTAATTCCTCTCTCTTCTTTTCTTTATTGCTTCTGTGTTATTTCTCATGTCTTCCTAAGGCTCCATTTTCTAAAGTGGCACCATGCAACTGTTCAACCACAGAGTGGAAGATCTGGCTAAAAAGGAAAACACAGAAAATGTAGAGAGGCAAAGTTGAAGATTTTGGGTTCGTGTAGCTCTTGGAGAGGCTCAGAGCCTGTGAATTTGCGATATTCATCTAACACCCTTTTCACTGAAAGTTTATACACAAAGCAAATGTAAGTAGTAAAGAAAAAAATTCTATATTTCAAGGGGTATGAGGAAAAAGGAAACTGATGGTTTCTCAAAACTGCAGTACATCAGGAAGGCTCTCTGGCAGATGGGCAATTTAATGCCTTTTTTGAGTTTGGTTGTCAATGAAAATGGCAACAGTGATCCAAAGACCAATACATTCAACACCACTGATGTTCATGGATGATTTCTGTCTAGATTAAGAAGAATAGGTTAGAAAACAGCTGGATAAACGTGATGTTTTCAGATTAGTTGGATTGATTCATTCCAGGTTACTTAGGGGAACACTATCAACCTCAGAGCTATTAACAGTTATCTATGAAAACCTGTGGAGGAGGGGAAAAGGTCAAACATTTCCTTGTCTTCAGATAGTAAGAGAAGCTGCAGTGTTATAAATCAATCAGCCTAATTGTACTTCTCAGAATATCCTGGAAAATAATCAAATTGTAAGCACTGGGAGGAAACCAGAAAGAGTCAGTGCTCACCCAATAATGTCAAAGTTATTTAGTTTTGTTGGATGACATAGTTAGAGGTCTGTTTTCAGGAGACAGGCTGTTAATATAATGTACTGCTCTTTAATGTGGCTTTGACACTATCTTGGGAACCCTATGGAAATGTGGGGTATCTGAAGCTTTGTAAAACTTCATGGAAAACTCAGGAAATGCGTAAGAATGTCAAACTGGAAAGATACACAGAATGGGATTCTGTCATGCATTTACTACTGTTCAATAGTTAATCAGAGGACCTTCATAGTTAGTGCAAACACCAGATTTGGGTAGTGTCTAATTTCTTGATGCCATCAGATCCCAAACTGATGCCTGCAGCAAGGTGAGAAACAGGTATTCCTGAACTTGTCATAGTTCACAGAACTTAAAAGCAGGACCGTTTTATTTTGATTTATTACCTTTGTGAAAGCGTGGATACTTCTTCTTAGCAGTTTTAATGTCAGATAGATGGGGAGGTGAGGGTGACCCTGTTCCAGCATCTCTTATTATTCCTTCCTTCCTTCCTTCCTGGAGTCACAGTTTTCTCTGGGGAATTTCTCTGGGATTTTTTTCTTGATCATTATGGTTCCCACGCAGTAGAAAAATACATTTTAGTTTTGCAGTGACTCAAAATGCCTCTAAAAGCCATAGAATTCAAACTGAAGTTTGCTGTTCTGAGCTAAACCATTTTCTTTAGATTTTCTGGAATAAAAGATACAGTGGGAAAATCAGAAGGTCCTCATTAAGAATTTCTGAGTGGTTATTTGAAACTATATTTGTCTGTTGAGATAATTGGCCTAAAAAAATCCCAATGAACAGGATTAATTTGAAGTAATATTTCGGATGACTTTGGCATATCTTTTGCTTAGTGAAAAGCTTATGAACTTGTCCTTATATCTGCAAAGAAATCTCAGCCTGTGGTATTTTTAGCTAACACTTCAGAAACTATTTATTTGCTGTCCTGCAGTGTGAGATTCTAATGTTAAAGGAATAACAATAATAAAATTGCATCCCTTTCCCTGAGCAGTTTATGAGATACAGCAGATGAGACAAGAGACGAGCTAATAATGTGAATATATTCTGGGGTCAGCTGGTGATATGATGATATTCTACAAGGACTGCATTTTAAGGAGCATTACAGAGAAAATGGAAAAAAAAATTGGAGTCTTTTGTAGGATATTCTTTTTGAAATAACTTTTTTGAACACTATTAAAATGTTTATTTCAGTGATGCATAGGCTCTGTCTCGTAAATTCAGCTTGGACTGACAACTGCAAGCTATAGATGATTCCTTTCTCTGTCAGACAGTCAGCTTCCCTTAACCTACTTGTGGGTAGTTTTGGGCAGGGACAAATATCTCAGCTACTACTCACCCCTGATATTGAGGGTATCTGCAGCTTCAGCACTCACGGACATAAACGAGCATCCTAGAGAGATGCAGACCATTATGGGATCTACAGGGAGAGTTACACGGGTTTTCAGACTTGCCACTCTCTGACACTCTTGTGGCACTGGCCTGAGTCCTGGCAGAACTGGGCACAGCTCTGCAAGAGCTCACAGTTCAGGGGTGTAGTCTTGATGCGTGTGTTGGGTCTGATGCTGCAGCTGAGGGAAGCTGTCTGTGCTTAAGCAGAACTCCAAGAGCTGCTAGGGAGAGTGCAGGCTAATTCTGCACAGATCAGGCACGAATTCTACAGCACAAAATTACCCCGCGTTAATATTTCAGCAGCTCACCCTCCGACGCACCAGGCAGAGGGCAGCAAAGGCCCTTCAAAGGGCTGTGCTGTCACACAGGGCTGTGCTGTGCTCTGAAACAAACCTGTCACCAGGGTACGCTGGAGTTCATCACACCTTCATTCGCCGACAGTATGAGACTGGCTGAGGATGAAACTCACATGCTACAATACAATCTCCTTAATAGATTTCTTGGACCTTTTGGTAAAGACAGTGTCTGCACGGTTTCTTGATTACAAGGTATGTGGAAATTATTCACTGTGACCATGTTCTTCTGCCCTCTGATCAAGATGAAAGG